GCTTTTGTAAGTGTATTAAGATAAATATAGATGGCGCTGTTCCTTATTTGTGCAAGATGAAATTGGGAGATAATATAAGCTTAGGGAGGAAGCTTTTGATTGAACCTTACCTTGTTGATTCCGTAAATGGCTAACAGAGGGCGTCTCACGAAAGCCGAATGTTTATTTAGGTGTAAACTAGATGGCGTTATAAAGCAAAATCTTTGAAAAAGTACTAATAAATGTATTACAAGTTCAAGTTCGTCTATGCGTTCCTAGGATATTGACAAAAATAAAAATATTTTTTGTTATGTTTCTATTTAGGGCTTTAAGTTACTTTTGTATTACTGTATACTAGCATTTGCCCAGGAGCCGAATGCGAAAGGAAACGGGATAAAATCCCCATCAATCCCCCATGAATTTTCAGTCAAATGCGTTCAACCGTTCCTGAATTATATTATAAATAGTGTAAATAACACAACCTTCTTTTATACAAATGGATATTCGATGTAAATGATATTGTAGAATTAGGTACTTGGCATTGTAAGGACTGTCGGGCCAACTTTTTCAGCCATTTTTACCTCCAGTAGGATGCCTATTTTCTTTGTTTTTAATGACGTGTCACGACTTACATGTCTTTTATACTATGGGACAAAATTAAGATTAAAAATATCAATAGTATATATGAAACAGATTTCTAATTTATAAGTAAATCTGTAATTTCTACTGCAAAACAGGCGTAAAAAACATTCTCAAAGTACTTCTAATATTATGGTTCTATTTCGGAAATTAAATCTCATGGTAGCTCACGGCAATAAAAAATTATTGAAAGTTTTGTTACTGCAAAATCAAATGTTATTTTTTTTGCTTAACACAATATTCAGTTTTTTTTGTTAGCCGAATATACCTAATAAGTCGTATATTTTCATATATCAACAGAAGCTAATCATATTGAAATTAACCAGTTCTGATTCAAGGAACACACAATAACCCGTTAAAGGCAACTTTAATATCCAGAGATATCCCGAACTAAAATAGCCCGTCAGCAAAAGTACTTACGACGAACAAGCTTATGTATGCCGATAACAACCTAAGTACCTACATATATTGTCTCTATCTGCCCCGTAGGCAAATATACCCTCTCTGTATAGCTAGACAAATAAAAGATACGGACAAGATTCCTGAGGGAAATTAAACTAATTTGCGACTGTAACACACAGCCCTTGAGTTGAATTTTCCTTGAATGGGGGAACGCCGCATAGAGCGGGTAATGGGGGGAAAACAGGGTGGCTTCATTGTATTGATCGGCGGCCATCTTTGATTCGCGCATGCGCCCTGGCGAATGCCACGCTTTAGTTATTTTGTTGCGCTAATTGCAGAGATGGCGCTGCTAATGATATGCTTAGTTTTTTTTGTTAATTATCAAGTAATAAATACCTATTATTATTTTTTTTTCCTTAAAAAATCTTTTTCTTCTTAAATGAACCTTTAAAGGAAGGTATGAATATTGCATATAAGAAATACATATAAATAAGAAACATAATTTTATCTTATTTATTAAAAATAACAATAGGTATTATCTCTTAATATAAGTATTTTAGTTGTTTTCTGAAAACAAACACGCAATTAAGAATTAATAGGTAAATAGGAAGTGGTTGTAAAAAAGAAACAGCTCAGATACAATAAAAAAAATTATGTATCTAAAAATATTTATTTAGCATTAAACAATTCATACATATACTTGTCGAAAAAAATTGATAAAGGTTCAAGACCGAACAACGTTTTCTTCCGACGGCAATTTACCGACGGCGCTGGTAAAACTCACCCGTCCGTAGAATTTTCCGCAGACTAAAGAATAGTATTTCTCTTCGATATATTAGTACAATAATTTTAAATAATTCCTGAAATTTTAAGATATTACTGGCTTTTTTGGTAGATAGATAGATAGATAAATAGATTTAAATAAACTAAATCTACAACATTAATTAAATTATAGTTAGCATAATTTACTAATTTAAATGTTCCAACTTTAATACAATTATCAATGGTAAATTTATTTTATCTCTTATATAGATAGAATATGATATAAAGTATTCAATAAATTTATTGCTTGGCATAGCAAAATCTATTTTTATTGTTAATATAATGTTTTTGCTGACAGCGATTGTAAAGTACGAAGTTTATTATTTTTGATTTTTTGGATTAAAATAACTATTTAAATAAAATAACGTATCTTGAATAACTTTTAATTTATTTAAATACATTAAGAAGTATATTTTTTGGACAAAACAGGACTTGTTTTTTGTTTGCATTGAATAGGCTTCGAAACTACAAACCCGTTTTTAATAAAATTCTTTTACTGTTGGGAAGCTACACTATCCCCGTGTGATGAACATTCTTTCCGTGCTCCTTCTTCTCTTTTGATTAAAAGTAGGCAGCGCATCTGTAAATGCGGAAGTCTATTGGCAGGGGTTCCTTTGCTATTTGAAGCGAAACCTACCTGGATGCTGGTTGCCAGTTTTCCACCTTATGCTATAAAAAAGAAAATTATACTGGAATGGTAATATTTACATAAATCAAAAGAGGGTGTGTTTTACTAGCGTTATGAATAACCGGGGGAGGATAGTCCGACAATACCTTTGTCGATCCTTTTTGTTTTACATAACTATTTCGAATTTATTGCTATAATATCTATGAATTCCGTGATTTTACCGTGTGTTTCCACTGCAAAATATGTTTATAAGAACCTAATTATCTCTGTTCTTCAACGACAATGGAAGGAATGATAATATGTTCTTGTTTCAAATTAAATTAAAGTTTATTAGGCTTAAAAGCGTGGAAACATTTAATATCCAGCCTGTGTTAGACATGCTTGTATCGAATTACTAAGTTCTTATATTTATATTAATTTTAAAAACTTAGTTAGTAAATTAAAGTTTCACTGCATTATATTGCAATAAAATTAAATGCACGAGGCCGTCGACCTCCGCTGTAAAAATATCTTCGACGGAGAGTCGCGCGGCGAGTGGCGCTGCAAGGTGCTGTTATAGCATTTTAGTTTTGTTTTTAAATTACAATATAACACAAATACAAGCCTCTTATAAAATTGTATAACCGTTCCTCAAAATATGAATTAACATTTGCATGTGATTTGTATTTAGACTCGGTCACGGAGTCATATCTCTACCTGTATCTTATTAAGTGCCTAACTTCTGTACGTAAAAATATTCAAGATACATCATATGTGTATAACTTTATTCTTCTTGTAGTAGATATTTATTTCTTTGTGACAAAAAGATGCTTTTACAAAATGTACATACCCATGACTTCATTTTCTCAGGCTTCGGAACTAGCGTGCGGTTTGCGGTTGAGTTTTATGTTTCTAAGTCAAAAGTGTAACAAAAATAATGGCATAAAACATTTAAAATAAAAATTTCCCTTTTAAAAATAAAAATTATTTGCTTTAAATCTTAGATTTGAAATGAAGCTCTATAAAATCTTTAACTAATACGAACACAGTGTTAGCAATAACACAGTTATCAGAATCACAATAGAGTTCAAGTTTACTATATTATCGATGGATTGATTGATTGATTTTTGGATAATATTTGCAACTGCTCTTGACAATATTTTTAATTCATTTAGTTATAGACATGTACTGTAATATATTTTATAAGAAGGCATCCAAGTCTTCAAAGCCAATGAATATTGTAATATCGCAGCGTTCCCGGCGCGGCCGTATCTTTGTCCGGGTCACGTGCTTCGCGTAATAAAAGCTGTGGCTTCACAAACACGCTATCTAAGGAAAGTCACTTTCTTTATACTTTAATACTTTCTCGTTTTTATACAATTCTCATTTTACGCTCCCTTTGGGGACGGGGACGTGATGTAGATATTATTTACAAAGAAAATACTGAAATCTTATATAGTAACCCAGACTGATTTTTAAATTCTAGTTTTAGACATTATTAATTAGAATCCTTTGGCGCGAATGGCGCGCTTTCATTACCAAGTCAAGTCTCAGAATCATTAGTGAGGGGACATAAATGTCGACATTTTAGTAAGACTAGTAATGTGCCAGTACACAGGCAGTCGAATTTTTTTCCTAACAATAGGGATCGAGTATATGTAGCCTATAATTACGACACCAAACTACTAATAATTATGTTCAATCTGCATGATTACATAAAGTACGAATAGTAACCCATAAGTTCGTTTCAATAAATAAATGACGTAAAACAGTATTAATGAAATTCTTATCTCACCAACAATCGACAATAAAACAGTGAGTAGAAATAAAATTTAATTTTTAATATTAGGTAATCTGAATTTAAAAATAGATGAACAGTTGATAAAATATTTAAGCTCATTAGATTTATAGTAAACAGCAAAAATTCATCTAATCTTTAAGTTTTATCTAAACATATTCATTATAAAGTTAAAATCGTCTATAAAACATTTCATAGACAGAAGTTATTTCTGTTTTATACATTTTAGTTATAACTATCGAATTTTTATATTTAGTTTCGGCAATAAATATTTTTTTTAATTTGAATTTACGTGCATATAAACTGTCATATGGGATTAGTATGTTAAAATAGATTGCAAATTTCAAACTGTATGTTTAAAGGGGAACATGTTAGGGTCTGTATCTTCATTTTATTCAAATGATGATACAGTTTTACGAGATCGACGCGGTGGGTCGCCCATGCGGCGGTAATTAAAACCTTCCCGGAGTGACATTTACGCTGATGCGTGGATTCAGCCTTAATGAGCGAGGGCGGGAGCTTTGACCGAAACTTCGGGACCCCCTTAATTAACATTTTCCACGCAGCCTCTCGTCTCGCTATGTAAAGATATATAGCGCCAATCGCCTCTTAAATTCAAAGTAATTAAATTGTATAAAATACGTAATGTGAATTGTCATTTCGATTTTTAGAAAACTATCTAAAGTGTGACTAAGACTGACTAATGTATGGTAAGGGTTACTTTTTTTAATACTAATGAAATAATAGTTTATTTAATCTAGATATTTATTGTATAGACAGATTAAGATTGTGAAACACACACTTCTTCTTCAAAACTGGAAGTTTAAATGGTACTTCGGTACACCCGTATCTGTTATCGTTTACATTATATCTCTGTAACTCTTGACAACAGCTAGAAAGTGGAACCAAACTGAAAATAAATGCAATTAAATGAATTTAACCAACCTTTTTCGTAATAACACAATTAAAGGCTGAGTCCTATTGGTTGTTATTTCTGCGTCGACGTCTCAATGCATACGTTCAAACGACTGTCGCTTTAAATGTCGAATACCGCTCGACTCCTTAATAGTAATAATTTATTAAAAATAATAAACATAGCCAAATAAAGGCACAGATAATAATAGACAATATTTTTGACTTACTTATGAAACTGATAGCCTGATGCACTATATGCAAGTCAAACAAACTGCAGCAAGAAAATAACAAGCCCACAATAAGGGCGGTTATAATAAATGCAACGCGCACTGTTAGAGAAAACAAAATCGCAAACATAAACCACGTTGCAGTTTCCTTTATGCCCTGGGAATAAAAAAAAAATAAATTACAAAAGAAATGATAATTCAAAAGCTTTCATTTAAACCGCTTAAACAAGCGCAAAACGTTGAAATGAGCGACCAAGAATAACTCCAGAATTTATATTGTTTGGTTAACAAAAATATTAAAAACTAGCTGCTTGATTATAATCCAATTTATAAATGTACTTACCCGCAGGACGCCGTACAAAAATATAATGCTCGTAACCAACATAGCAATATTAGATATAAAACATACAATAGTAATGATGCTTTTGAGAACTATCACGATACTGTTTGTACTGTTTGGACAGATTGGATACATTGTGACCATTCCAATGTCTGTACAATCAAGCTGTAAATATAATTAGTCATTATATCTTAGGTTATATTTAGTAACAATCAAGGAAATGTAAACTAAAATGCTGCTCATTTTTTAAATGGTTTCATTTTTTGTGACAGAGTTTTTAATAATGAATTGCCATTCAATATATAAATATATGACATGGACAATTGTATGTTATAGATTTTAATTAGATATTTACGAAAAGTGAGGTAAAGGGAGAAAAAGGCGGCGAGGTGGATGGGACGGGACGTAGGTGGATAATTGGTAAAATTGGTGTAAAAGCTTTGTTACGATCAATTCACTTACGATTCCATATATAGCTATAAATATGCAACCTATTTTCAAATCAACACAGAAACAGCAATATTTCACGGAGGAAATATAAGAAAAATCGGACATTTTAGTTTTAACTTATCGTAAACATAAACTTACAATGACAGCTATCAATGAAAAAGAAGACATATTTAAATTGAAAAAAAAACACCACAGAACAACAAAAAAGTTTTCAGAATAATTTTAATCTAGGTTTTAAGCGGAAAAGATCAGTATCTGTTGCATAGAGTATTAAAAAATATTACTTACTTTCGTTTTTAAATTTTCTGTTACCAGTAATATTCATTTCATTTATAAGCTTCCTTTCTGTATTCATTTATAACTATTTCAAAGTAAACCCATGCTGCAAATAAATTTTTATTTATCAACTAATTGATATCCTCGACTGCGTCCGCGCGGTATTAAAAATAACTTAGGTTAGCTAGTTAGTTAGTTATTAGTTAGCCTATGTGCTCTGCCAGGCTTTGTTCTATATTGGTGCCAAATTTCAGTAAGTAAAGTAAAGTAAAATATTAGTAAGAAGTAATATATAATTTGTCTTTTAATTCATTAAGAAATAAATCATTACCTAAACAAAAAATAAATAGATTAGTTATTGCAGTATTATTTGTACACATGATCCTCTCTGATTGCACCATTAAAAGTATTGTGTATGGGAACAAAGACATCAGTGATGATACCAAGAACAATTGAAATAGGATGACCAAAAACGGGTGTTTCTAAAACGTACAAAAAATTTATTAGGCATATTAAGATATACAACTCCCTTGTGTGAACAAACAGAACAAAGATCTGAATTGGCATATCTGCCACTGAAATGTAACTATAATAATAGAAATCAAAGCTGTTTTGATACTATATGCAAATCGGCTTGAGTAGACGATAAGATAAATGATTTTAAAGTTAACTTACAAAAACGAAAACATTCAACATAAATACGAAGGAGCTCATCATCAGACCCAACACTAATAAGAAAAGAGAAACTTTCATAATTTTTAGAGTCTCTGTCAGATTTGTATGTGGAGTGTATAAGTTTGAACACGATGGGTTTGTGATCTCATTTATTATCACTATACATGATAGCTGGAAAAAAAACTTCTATTAACTTCTTCCATACTGGCAACTTTTATTAAATTTATTACAATAATTGAATACACAAAGTAACGAATACAGGGATTAAGAATTGTATAGGTTAAGCTTAGCTATACCTTCAACATGTATAGGTAGGTGCGCATAGTTATAGTTAATAGGATTTTTATTTAGATAGAGATTGTCAATTGATAATCAGGCATGAATGAAGATTACTTAATCAGGTTTATAAATATCAATGTATCTAATAGAAAACAAATAGGTTTTCTTTTATTTAATTTTAAAATGAATAATTAGTTTTTCTCATGAACTCGTTTAACTTCTACTTGTATAGTAGATCTATTAAGTAGCTTAAATAATACAAGATTTTGCAATTTAAACTGTATCATGTGTTCTCACATTTATATTATGTTGGTTTAAATAAACTTACCATTGTCAAGAGAATAATAAAAAGTGCTGCAAGTTTCATATTTTGTCCACAACAACAACAGCAACAAGATTTTATACTTAACATTAAGTTTCCCATTGTTGTTACTAAAACGGCTACATTTCAACAAAACACGTAGAATGGTTTATGTATAAATGTATACTAAACAAAGATACCAAACATCAAAATATTTATCATACATATAATTTATCGTACAAAATATCGAAATAATATTGCAAAATGACATTTGTCAAATGTAATGTGACGTTTTTAGGAAGGTTTCACAAAGTTTACAAACTAGATGAAAAAATGCCATTGCCTTTTTATTAATATGAATGAATTAATCAATTACCTTATCTAATATTATTACTGAATCTACTTAACTATTATTAAATCTGTACATCAAAACCCTAAAATTACGTCATCTGTTGATTTACCTTTTAAACTAGTATTTAAAACATAGACAATAATAGATATCAAATACTTTATTTATTAAAATTGCATGCACATTAAAAACAATATCCAAAAATTTTATGAAAAAATTAAAAGTATAATAAAAACGTTTTCGAAAATCCAACTGCATATGGGCTACAGAATAACTCGAAAGAGTCCAGTTCAAGTGACATTTAACCGTAATGATCCGGATCCATAATAATAAAGGTAGATTGCTTAAAAAATGTCCAAGCGATAATGGAAACTGCAATAGGGCATTTTCCATGCAAAGCTTTGTAACGTAGTTAAGAGACGTGAGCTAGGTAAGGCCCTATTACAAAATAGATTGTGGTAATGTTTAGTCTAGTTTTCTTATTCTTGCTCCACTTTATTTAAGCTAATTCATTTCACATTAGGAACATGTTCAACTATTTCAGAGGTCATAATACTACTTTGAATTTCAATTTCCTTGTGCTTTCCTAAATGACTTTATAACTATGATAAAATAGGTCCACACTGAAATATAAAAGATGGAGTTAAACACAAAAAAATGTTAGCAAAAAAAATTTCTTAATACGTAAACTTACCCACTAAATCGATGAGTGTGAAAAGGAACTCTAAAATTGGAAAGCCAGTCCCGATGGAAACGCAAACAAACACGTAAAATATACCATACATAAACGCAAGAACCGTTGTCGCAATTGCAGTATACAAAAACCATTTTACTGTTTTCTTATTTACTCGCTGAAAAATTAAAGTTAACATATGAATTAAAAAATAACATCTAGTATCAAATTTGTATTGCGTAAATTGTATGTAATAATATGAAATCCAAAAATTATGCCAAAAACTTTCAATTTACATATATAAAAATATTAAGTAATTGTCAATTTATAAATAATTATAAGCTATTTATTTAAAAATTAATATAAGATCTAAATTACCCGAAAGATTCTAATAAGGAAAATGATGCATGTAATCAAAAAGATTACATCAAACAAAAATACAACAAAGCCAAAATATTTCAATGCTTCTACGAGACCGGGATCGAAAACCTTTTTCGAATTATCACTAAGTGCACCATTTTTCCAATCTCTTAAATATGTTGTATTCATGTTAAAGAATGATCTCTCCAGACCTGCATTTGGGCTCAAACCAAAGCTAAGCTGAAACAGAAAAAGTACACATCAAGGCTAAAACTTTAGACAAACATTTATGAAGTTACAAAACTTTTTACTGATCTCATTGATTTATCGAATACTTCAAAATCAATGTGAAAGCTTGTTCAATTAAGCTTCTTATTTAATTAAATTAAAGGTTATTTAGTTTGACCACAAGACAACTTTACTACAAATCAAAAATCGATCAACATTGTTAGTAACTTACGACATAGTGAAAGTTGATATCGATGACGTCAGGTTTCTGTGAGCAGGTGGTCATGATGCAAGACATACGGATAAGGTAAGTGTGTCGAATCAGAGCCCATGTTACCGCCGGACATGTTACCTGAAAAATAATATTAGGTATATGTTACTAATGTTATAAATGCGAATTTTTGGATGGATGGATGTTTGTTTTAAGTTATCTCCGGTGCATGGACGGTTGCATGGATCTTGCTGATTTTTGACTTATGTGTAGAAGTTTTTTTTTTGTTTAATTCCACGCGGACAGAGTCGCGGCCGACAGCTAATAAGCATATAAAACAGTGCCTCATGCAGTGGTATATATAAAGCGTCAGACTACATTTTTAATAATTTGAATAGAACTTGCGTAAAGAATTTAGAAAGCATTTTTATGTTATTTAACCCAAAATTTAAATTATATTCCTGTGGGTCTCAACAGTAATATTATTGAAACACATTAAGAGCTTTAGCGTGTTTTATTTTTAAATGTATGATGTTAGTGTGTGTATATACTGATAATATTTATATAAATAACATTTATTTACAATCCCCAAAACTGCAATAATAATCACTGCACTTTTTAAATCTGGTATACATATACAACAAGTTGCTACGTCTGGAATTCTACTATTCAGATCGGACATAATTTAAATACATAAAAATTGTGGTATAAAAATGTAATACAACCAAAAAGTCATACTGACATTATGTCACAGATAACATATTGCTTCTACAGATTATTCTTTTTCCTTTAGCATAAATTACTAATTATTTATTTTCATTTTTTTAAACACATTCATAGAAATGGGTGTAGGCGTAAACAAATAGTAATTTAGCTTAGGATAAGGCCGTAATACTCGGCTTAGTTTAAGCGCCGAAAACCGGGGATTTGAGCATTATTGCTTACTGCGCGGGTCTCAGACGGGGCTGGAGGTGCGGGTTCGGGGGGGGGGGAAAGACTCTTAACAAGATTACACTGAGATAAAAGTGCCTGGGTAATGGCGCCGGAGTAAGCCGGCCCCGGGCTGCGCTCTAAAATAAAATTAAAATTGAAAGGCACTGGCTTTTGGAAAATGTCGGCTGGCAGCGGCATGGCTTCATTACTGATTGAATATAAAAAATACAAGACATTAGAAAACTGATACTTTTGTCCACAATGCCAAATAAGTCTCTAGCATTTTAAGATTAGTCCTTAAAGTAATGGACACATCCGAAGAATTAATTTCTAAAAAATATTCACAAAATAAGGGAATTATTTATTAACAGGCAAAAAATTAACTTAAAAAAGGTGAGATTGTATCGATCGATACAAGCGGGCAGGGCTTGTTTCAAATTCAATTCACAGAGTGGGAGGAACAATAAAACTTGATCCGCCGGTATATCTCCGCTCGGCATCACCTGCGGCCCTCTACGTGGCCCGAATGATTAAATTCTTGTATAAGCAAGTATATAAGGCATCTTACTGTATACTATTTACTTACAAACACCCTTCAAACATCAGCTTTCACCTTATATAATATAAACGGAGGCAGTAAGTAAAGTGTTTAGTGCTAACTTAAATTTCCATTATGTTGATACATTTACAATAAAATCAAGTAGCTTTGGAATTGTTTTTGAACAACATTTCCACTCTTATACTGGATATTTTAAATATAAATAAACTTTCTTGTCTCTGAAATCTATTTAGTTTGTAAAATTTAAGATAAAAATTAAACCTCAATGTATCTTAATCAGAAAATGTCAGATTTACTTTATATCCATGGAATAAAGTAACACACATCAATATGTATAATATTTCCACGAGCCGTTCCTGGAACACCCGCGCTCCGGCACCGTGTCTACCGAGAAACGTCAAAATATTTCACACAGAAACCTTTGTAAACATGGGAGGCGGCCGCAACTATGATATATCTCTATTTTTTACGTCAACTCTCGTGACACATGGCAAAAACGCGCTTCGGGTCAGACTCACGAATCCGCAATATAGGCCCCGCGATAAATCTTCAAAGATTCCACTTTTATTTATTAAGTTGTGTTCTGTTTTTACGACGCGCCGCCGCGGGGGCGCTCATTACGACGCTCCTCCGTGATGAAAAAACTTTTCCCCTTCTTACAACATTAATTACGAAAGTCGGAAAGTTTCTTCATTCTCTGACTGCGTCAGCATCACATAAATATACCCACTTAACTTTCAGGACCGCTCTCCGCTTTTACGATTCTGTTCCGCGGTGAACAAAAAAACTCAGACCTAGTTACTTCGTAGCGCTGATAAGAAAATATCAAGAAAATATAAGCAGTAAAAAGGCTGAAGACATCACGTAGCAAAACAGGTCTCGGAGTTTTATGTCGGCAATTCGGGGCGTGCACAAAAGAAATGCTAACGTCGATGCGGACGTGACTTACCCTAGAGCGCTCCAAATGTCCCCCGCCTTGTATTTGCTTGCTGTAAATATGTATTTACTTGAATGCCAGGGAAATAGAGGTTTTATGTTTTTAACGAATTTTCACAACAACGACACAAAAAGGGTGTATTCTAATGGGCCTGAGAATACGCCATGTGAGGTGTGGCTTATTGCGGAATTGATGTTTCCAGACAACCTTTTCAAACGTTAAATGACGGAAATTTATTCACATTAGCATCATATTTTCTAAATTCCACAATTTATTACGAATTTCGGGAAATACTTGAGCTCGAACAATAAAAGTTAGCTTAAAATTCAATGACTACTACAACTTTTCACGATAAATGAGCAAAACAAAATAAACAAAGACAATTTACCACAATCGACGTAATATTATTTCTACCATAGTTGCATTGGTGTAAAAATATAGCCGACGGAGACATGATGGAAGGGCGAACTCCATTTACGTGAAGCAGAGGGCGTATCATTCGTTTTTAATTTATGCTACTATAACTCAGTTGGACGGCCACTCAATAGGTAATTTAGATGTTCCCGGCAACATTGTCGTAATGAGAGCGAACTTTGGTGGGGTACAATTTATTGGTTCGCTTGGACTGATTCAAGTGAGGAGTGACTTAACCTGATGATTTTTATGTTAACTGTCAAAAGACTAATGATGGTGAGAATGTTTTGAAGTGTTTTAAATTAGATTTAAAACCCAATGTAATCGCACATCGAAATATTGTACATTTTTCATATTATACGCCTTAATCCTAAGGCACACACAGCAAAGGTACAAAAGGTAAAGCCCCCACAATGTATAAAAACAAGTCAACTTAAAATATCGAATGTAATCTGCACATAAATCTGTAGGACACTGTATCGCACACGGGGGCGTCGTAACGTTTCCTTCTTAAAAATAAGTCTAATTTTTATGTTTATACAAGTGTTTGGATTCTTCATGAGATCATCCTAAATATAAAATGTTTCTTTATTCAAATAAGCCGGGCTTTTTGTATCTGCATCTCGACATTGCTAACAGTTAAGTAAAACATCTAAAGGGCGGTTTACGCCTTTTCTTTGGACGTCCTACTGAGATGAATGAAATGAAGGAAAATTAGCTTTGTTACTTTCAGTTTAAAATTGGTTTTCATCTGTCACGATAATGAGGATACGACCATTTCAAACGTCGCTGAGATGCTTTGGCTTAAACGAAAAAGCTCATAATATACATAAGATATGGCATCATGTGGCAGTTTGTTATGAAGTTTATAGTGGAGCCAACACGGTTCTAGTTACAAGCTTACAGAGAAAAAAAACATGTCGGCGGATTATTATATGTAATAATTTAAAGATTCAATCGCCGTCTTGTAAAAATCTTAGTCGAATTATGAAAACAGATATGCGGAGTAATTGGATAGTTCGTATTTCATGTTTATAGTCGTTGGTTTGAAGTTATGATAAATGTGTTAGAATATTTCGGTTACTATTATAGAGCACGATGATTTTTATGCTGCTTGGATTTTTATTCAACTTCAATCATAAACGAGACTATGAATCGTTTTGTTACTTTTTAATTGCTTACTAACTATTTTGATTAATGCTTTTTAAAGTGATTTCTTGAGGCTAGTGTCACAATTTTGTTAATATTTGTTTTCGGTTAACATTATAAAAAACTATTAGTTAATTTCGTGACAACTAGATGATCGAATATAAATATGTTAAACGAGAATATTTTATGGATTCATGTCTAAATATCATTCGATGTATTCGATTTAGGCAACGGAAACAATTGCTAAGTAAATATACGTTAATGTGGAGCGATCAAATTTGATTGCTATCGAATAGTCACGATCCTAGCGGTGGAAATAGCCGGCTTTACTTCCGAATTCCGACTGGCAAGGGATCGATACTCGATACCAATAAAACAGCGTCGATTCGCGAATACATAAAACGTCGGATTCGAGTCTCGCTCTCTGTATAAAGCTAGGAGAGAAGGGTTCCAGTTTTTATTACAAGGAATTTGCATATAAAGTAACCATTCAAGAAAAGCGATCTTCCATACTTTTTTTTTTGCGTATTCATTGTTGAAGGTCGGAGGCGCACATTCAGTTTTATGACCTTTGATACTTTTTTAGCGTGTATAAATAAATAATTGTATCAACAGTTTTTTGTTGTCTGTGATTTATCTGAGAAAGTATTAGAAATGCTTTTATGTTTTGACATGATACTTTGAAATGGTTATTTATGTTGGTAATAAATAGTCGTTATCGTTGCGATAGGTGTGCAGGGTGTGAACTAGGTCTGCGTTCGTTACACTAACCAGTTGTTGTTCTATTTCAGATTCATGGATCAATGCCAGCTGACTACACTATGGATATAAAATACTGGTAAATTTTTATTTATCTTCTTAACTTTGAACCTCCACATATCTTTATTTTTTGTTTATCATTTTAATACCAGTTGATCGAAAACCTCATTATCACCTGCTCGCTATAGGTCCTCACCAAGGGGCTCGGAGCCAACCATAAGTTAGGAGTGATTATGCCATAGTCAGCCACACTGGCCAACTACGGGTTGGTTGCTATCACACATATCTTTTAATTTCTTCGCAGATATGTGCAGGTTGCATCACGGTGTTTTCCTTCACTGTAAATAATAAAAAATATCGAAAACCTATTGTGTATAAAATAAATGTGGTTCCTATCTAATAAGATACTCAATACTCAAATATACATAACATTTATAAGCTTTTGGGTAGTTTTTATCTTTAAAAAAGCATACGTCTATATCGATTAATGATTTTGTTTTACATGTTGTAATAAAAAACTAAAGTTATACATAAAAATAGAGATACATTTATGTAGACATAAAAAACGCAGTGACCACGGGGCGTACCGGTCCATTCCTAATAAAAATGATATTTAATTGAAGTCGATAACATGTTGTGGCGAGATGTCCAATAAACCGCCTTTATTATTGCTCTGTTAAGCCGCCCGACGTCAGATAAAAATTACCACTGCCTTACTTCTTAACTCTTTCAAATAATGGACTCTTGTTTTTCTCGTTTTTTTGTATTCGCTTGCATACATTACATTATCATGGTGTCATATTTCCCGCTTTTTTATTGACCATTTTGGAATTTAAATATTTATTAAAATAAGTAAACGAAAAAACGATACGAAATGATAGATTTTCCTGTACATATGATTATATTTACATATTTTAACACATAATCACTTTTATGAAATTTAATCTTTTAAGTAATAAGTTTTTTAAAGTTTGT